CGGTATGGACCGGTATGGATCAGTATAGACCAGTATGGACCAGTATGGACCAGTATAGACCAGTATGGACCAGTATGGACCAGTATGGACCAGTACAGACCAGTATGGACCAGTATGGACCAGTATGGACCAGTATAGACCAGTATGGACCAGTATGGACCAGTATAGACCAGTACAGACCAGTATGGACCAGTATGGACCAGTATGGACCAGTATAGACCAGTATGGACCAGTATGGACCAGTATGGACCAGTATGGACCAGTATGGACCGGGATGGACCGGGATGGACTGGGATGGACCAGTATGGACCGGGATGGACCAGTATGGACCGGGATGGACCAGTATGGACTGGGATGGACCAGTATGGACCGGTATAGACCAGTATGTAATGAGATAAACCAGTATGAACCAGTACAGACCAGTATAGACCAGTATGGAATGGGATGGATCAGTATGGACTGGGATAGACCAGTATGGACCAGCACGGACCAGTATAAACCAGTATGGACTGGGATGGACCAGTAAAAACCAGTACAAACCAGTATCGACCAATACAAACCAGTATAAACCAGTATGGACTGGTGTAAACCACTATAAACCAGCATGAACCAGTAAGGACCAGTATAAACCAGCATAACCCAGTCCATCCCAGTATAAACCAGTATAACCCAGTCCCATTTTTTCCCCATAAAATCACATTTTTATCCCTAAAATCCCCATTTTTCACCCCAAACTCGCGCGGTTTTTTGCTCCCAGTCCCTCCCAGTATAACCCAGTCCCATTTTTACCCCTTTAAATCCCGATTTTTAATCCTTTAATCCGCATTTTGCCCCATAAAACACATTTTTTGCCCTAAAATCCCCATTTTTTTGCTAAAATCCCCATTTTTCACCCTAAAACCACGCGTTTTTTTTGTCCCCAGTCCCTCCCAGTATAAACCAGTATAACCCAGTCCATCCAGTTCCCTCCCAGTATAACTCAGTCCCATTTTTAACCCTTTAATCCCCATTTTAACCCCATAAAATCACATTTTTGGCTCTAAAATCCCCATTTTTCACCCCAAACTCTCGGGGTGTTTTGCTCCCAGTCCCTCCCAGTATAAACCAGTATAAACCAGTCCCATTTTTAACCCTTTAGTCCCCATTTTTAACCCTTTTATCCCCATTTTTCCCCATAAAATCCCAATTTTTTTCCCTAAAATCCCCATTTTTCACCCCAGACTCGCGGAGTTTTTTGCCCCCAGTCCCTCCCAGTATAAACCAGTCCAAACCAGTCCCATTTTTTCCTCTAAATTCCTCATTTTTCCTATAAAATCCCCATTTTTACCCCATAAAATCACATTTTTTGCCCTAAAATCCCCATTTTTCACCCCAAACTCGCAGGGTTTTTTCCTCCCAGCCCCTCCCAGTCTCTCCCAGTCCATCCCAGTATAAGCCAGTATAACCCAGTACAAACCAGTCCCAATTTTAACCCTTTAGTCCCCATTTGTAACCCTTTAATCCCCTTTTTTTTTGCTAAAATCCCCATTTTTAACCCTAAAATCCCCATTTTTCACCCTAAAACCACGGGGTTTTCTGCCCCCAGTCCCTCCCAGTATAACCCAGTATATCCCAGTATAAACCAGTCCCATTTTTTCCTCTAAATTCCTCATTTTTCCCTATAAAATCCCCATTTTTACCCCATAAAATCCCCATTTTTTGCCCTAAAATCCCCATTTTTCACCCTAAAACCACGGGGTTTTTTGCCCCCAGTCCCTCCCAGTCTCTCCCAGTATATCCCAGTCCAAACCAGTGCTGGGGGTGCATTGGGGGCGGGGCTGTGGCCGATCCAGGCTCTACAGACGGGGTACAGGGGGGTCCCTGCAGGGAATTGTCCCAATTCCACACTGCGGTCAAACAGACGGATCACAAACGAGTCTGGAAATGGAGAAATCACACAAAAATGGACAAAAAATAGAGAAAAATGAGCAAAAAATTAGTGAAAAATTGTTAAAAAATTAGCAGAAAAATCAGCATAAAATTAGCACAAAATCAGCACAAAATCAACCCAAAATTAACTCAAAAATTGACAAAAAAATAGAAAAAAATAGCGAAAAATTATTAAAAAATTAGCACAAAAATCAGCATCAAAATACCCCAAAATCTGCCCAAAATTAACCCAAAAATCACTCAAAATCAGCACAAAATTACCCCAAAAATCAGTACAAAATTACCACAAAAATGGACAAAATCGACCCAAAAATCAGCACAAAATTAACCAAAAAAACAGACAAAAATCAGAAAAAAATTATTAAAAAATTGGCAAAAAATTACCCCAAAATCTGCACAAAAATCAGCCCAAAAATCAGCACAAAAATCAGTCAAAATCATGACAAAAGTCAGGCAAAATCAGCACAAAATTACCCCAAAAACGGAGAAAACCAACCCCAAAATCACTCAAAATGAACCCAAAAATCCCCCCAAAATGACCCCAAAAATGACCCCAAAATGACCCGAAAATGACCCAAAATGACCCCAAAAATGACCCAAAAATGACCCGAAAAG